TGAAAGGATGAAGTGCATAATAACTACTGTAGTGGGTAGGATGATCTCCCAAATGATATATGCTCAGGCCCTAACTGCCGGTACCTGTACATGTGACCTTATTTGGACATGGGGTCTTGGCAAGTATAATCAAGTTAAGATGAGGTCATACTGGATTAGGGTGGTCCCTAATTCAGTGACTAGTGTTTTTATAAAGAGAGGCCATTTGGACATGGACACACAGACACAGGGAAGGGCACTCTGTAAAGACAGGGGCAGAGATTGGAGTGATACATCTACAAGGCAAGGAGCACCAGATTGCTTGCTGGCCCTCACCAGAGCTCAGGGAGAGGCATGGAGCAGACTCTCCCTCAGAGCCCCTAAAAACTCTGCCAACACCTTGATTTCAGACTTCTAGTCTCCAGAATTTGTAGAGAATAAATTCCCTTTGCTCCAGGCTGCTCATTTTATGGTTCTTTATTGTAGTGGGAAATGAGTACAACCAACGGGTATTAAGTACTCATCACCTTTCCCAGCATGGTGCACACCTTGTACCACAAAATCCCCTCAGTATCACCAAAAGCTAAGTATTGTGGGTGTCCTTCTCTTACAGATGAGGAAATTAAGGCTTTGGAAAGTTAAATGAACTTCCTAAGGTCAAGTACTAGGATGTGGTAGAACTTGGACATGTATCAGGACTTCTCAGTCTAGAGTCTGCCCTAATCGTCACGAACACTGACTGACCTATGGTCAGGAACCAAGATTCTAGGCACACTTTGCCATCTGTATTCACCAACAAACTTCCCAGATGGAAGTCCCTGTGCTTCTTCCCTCCATTTTATCTGCTGTTGCCGGAGCTCTACTGTCTATCACGTTTCTCCCGGAAGATGTGTGGGTAGCAGATGTGGCTTGGAATTTGATAAGAACTTCACTTCAACACATCCTTTCCATCTGCTTGGAATCCTCCCACTGTAGGGACAGCTGAACAAACAGCCCACCCCCTCTATGTTGGTATTGACTGAAGTAGAGACTCCTGAAACTGTGTGAGGCAATTATAAAAGGTCATTTCCACTTAAAGGAACATCTTAGAGCACAGCCATCACTGTTGCCAGTGCTATGGCTATTTTTCTGCCATCCTTTCCAATACTAACCCTTCAGGGCCCAGGAGGAGGAAGGAAGATCTTTGCAAGCCACTTAATACTTGGAGTCCGGGACATATCTGTCCTGTTCGTGGGCATGTCACCAGAGCCTAGCATAATGCTGGGCACAAAATTCCCAGTGAACATGTGGACCGGACGGATGAGATAGTGACTGCAGCACGAGCTCAGACTGAGCTCATTGGGAGAAGTAAATGGTGTGTTAGTGGTTGTATAAGAAATGGAGCAAGTCAGTGACTATTCTGTCTGTGGCCATGAATTAGTTCATAGTGTCCCAAGTCTCAGTAGAAGGGTGGGTAGGAAAAGAAGGAAAAGGGCCAGGATCTGGAACCAAATCTAAAACACCCCAGCAATAACTTGAAGACAACAGCTCCACAATGCAACCTTTTGTACTTAGGCTTTGGAGAATCAGATGCGGTGTGGATAAAAGCATGAATTTAGGAGGCAGGTGATGTAGAAAGTACCACTTCCTAGTGGAATGACTTTGGACAAGTAACCAAATTCTCATCTGTAAAAGTGGGATAAGAGGGGTACCTATGCCACACATTTGGGCATTAAATAATACCCAGTGTGAGTAGGACATGGGTGTGATTGTCAGTCTCAGACTAGTCTCCTTCCCTCACATGCCAGCCCTCCCAACATGGCATTTGCTGTTCCTGGCACAAATGGGGTCATTCCCTTTGCACTGTACCTTTCCTTGTCCAGTCTCCCTGCTTGGTGCCTGTGCTACTCTGTCTGCTGGATGTCTTGGATTCTGCTGAAGACTTGCTAGATCTCAGAGAGCTGGGGGTGGCAATCAGGAATCTGAGTTCTAGAGCTTGAGTGCTCTCTTCCTACAGTGTATCCAGGCCAAGAATTACAGATCCAGGTAGCTGAATCCTAAGATAGCATGGATCTCTTCCCTTTGGCTAGAATGTGCCTCCCCCATCTCTGCCTTGCTGGTCCTGGGTCTCTACTTAACTATCACATCCCCAGAGCATCTTTTATTGAGTCAGGGTAAGTCTTCCATTTAAACACTCAGAAAGTGCTGCACAGTTCTTCAGGGGTTTAATCACAATTGAAGTAGGTCATTATTTGGGCCTGAGTATGAACATCGTGAGGACAGGGACCTTGGCATTCCACACCCCCACTGCCTCTCAGTGCCTGGCACATCCTAGATACTTGTTAATGCTGATTGAATGAAGGGGCTAACTGGCCAGCCTTCCAGATCCTGGAAAGACCAGGAAAAGTGACATGTTTAGAGGGCCAAGTGAATTCCATCTCAGGTGCCTCACTCAGTTGAAGCTTTAAAAAAAATTGATTGAAAATAGTGTGCAAACCCAAACCCAAGAATTAAACAAACCAAGGTGACAGGGGCCACATCTGACAATGCTGGGTGGCATTAGTGCTGGTATGAACTTAGATGTTTATTGCTGCATTAACAGATCACCCCCAAAACTCAGAGATTTAAACTAATAACAATCTATCATTTCTCACAGTCCCTGTGAACCAGAAAATTGGGATGTTCACTGGGGCATTGTGGTTTGGGGTCCTTGTAGTGGCAGGAGCTGGGCTTGGAGCACTTGGAGCACCTGGAGCCATCTGAACACCGGGCTCTTGATGCAGTCTCAGGGCCTGTCTGTGCAGCCTCATTCTGTGGCCTTACTAGCATGGTGGCCTCAGGCTATGAAGGCTGATGTCCCAAGAGAAACTGACAGAAGCTATTGACTTAGAAGTCATGCAGGGTCTCCTTGCACATTATTCTGTTCATCGAGGCCACCACAAAGTCCTACCCAGGTTCAAAAGGAGAAGTCAAGGTCATAGATTCTGCTTCTTGATGGAGGAGTGTCAAATATTTATAGACAAGTTTTAAAAGTACCATGGGATATCAGTTCCTTTATGACATGGGGAAAGCTTTCTGAGAAGAGGCAGGGAGATATCTATTGAAAAGGAAAGCTTTCTCTATGACTTCTTTCACTCAGCACAACACCCTCTAGGTCCATCCATGTTGCCACAAATGGCAAATTCCACTCTTTTTACTGCTGAGCAATATTCCTCTGTGTGTGTCAACTTCTTTGAAAAATTGAAGGGGAATAAGAAGTACAAATTTCTAGTTACAAAATAAATTAATCACAGGAACATTAAGTACAGCATAGGGAATATCTCAATAATATCTTAATGACTTTGTATGCTGACCAATGGGTACTAGGCTTACTGGGCATTGAATCATAAGGTTTATAAATATTGAAACACTAGATTGTACACCTGAAACTAACATAATACTGTATGTTAGCTGTAATTTAATTTTAAAAAAGAAAAGAAAAACTTCATTAGAATATTAAGGAGCAAAGAAAAATTCCCTTCTCACTCCCATGAATTACTGCTGAGAAATTATTAGGAAAATCAAGACAGAAGGATTGTTTTACTTATGGACACCTCCTAACCACCATATTAAATGAGTCAGTTTTAATAGCACCTCAAGGATTCCTCAAAACACATCGAGTGATTAGATTCAAGAGGAGGGGAGGTGATTGTTAAAATACAGACTTCCTGGCCACAGCTCAGAGCTGCTTCTAAGTGAGAGGTGGTGCCTAGAATCTACTGTAAACAAGTTTTCCCAGGGATTTTGATACAGATAAGAGGCACGGTGCTTTTTATAAAGAATGAATTTGCCTTGTTTTAAGTTACCTGATGATATTTGGCTTCCTGAAATTTTTATTTTCATTAAGATTTGAGCTACTCAAGCAATAATTTTGTCTTATAGGATCTCTAAGAAACATAAATCTACTCAAACTAATTTAATTTAAATCACAGTGATAATTTTATTGGAGGGATATGGGGGTTTCTAATAGGAAACAACCAAGCCTCATGAGAGACTGGAACCTGGAGCTGGAAAGCAAGATCTCTCCTCATTCTCTGATGTTTTTCCTCACACATCCATCTTATTCTTCTTGGCCTGCATGAGGTAAAAACAAACTTTTCCAGACAGATCTGTGTGTGTTCCCTGTTCAGGGCCCCAGGACTGACTATTTGGAGTATCCTAATTGCAAATTCTTAGGGAGAGAATCTGACTGGCTCAACTGGCTCAGCTTAGGTCAGTTATCTACCAATCAACTGTGGCCAAGTGGGTCCAATGCCCAATCAGGAAGTTCTTCCTAAGAGGCTCCTTGGAAATGGTACCTGCTGGTCACTGTTCCCTCTGGCATAGTCATGCCCAGTGAAAAAAGTGATGTGTCATGTGCCACATCAATTAACATGCCCTGGCTGTGACCACAGCTGCATGGAAGGAGGCCCCAGGATAATAGGGTGGTTGTTCCTATTATAGGGGAGGATGTTCAGATACTGTATTAATCATCCCTATAATTATATCTGAAGTCTCTTCCTCTCTGGAATGCAAAGTCAGAGAATGTTCCTGCTTGTTTATTGCTGTATCCCCAGTGCTTACCAGGCTTTTAATGAATATTAAATGGTTGAATGAATAAGGGAACAAGAGTCCATATTCAGTTTTATCAGGAATTTCTTCCTTCCACAAATATTTATTGAACATCTACTATGTGCCAGGTACTAATCCATGGTCTTGGTTTACACCAGTGAACAAAATAGGTAAAGATACTTGCCCTCATGGGGTTTATATTCTAGCCATTTTGCTGGGCATCGATCTGTATGCCAAAGGAATCAATGCTTGGTCTTTGCTCTTGGAACCATCCTTTATGATTGGGTTCAACTATTGCAAGTGTGAGGTCTGTGGAAAACTTCATCTGTTGCTTTAGTGTCAATGGAAAGCATGTGGACAAAGCCTGGAGAAGATTTGAATGAACATTATATACCCTGTGTTTCCCCCGGGGCCACTTCCAACCACCCTGACCTACTTGTTGTCTTCCCCAGGTCATGCTCTCAGAGCGCAAAGGCACAGATGAGCTCTATGCCGTGAAGATCCTGAAAAAAGATGTTGTCATCCAAGACGATGATGTGGAATGCACCATGGTGGAGAAGCGTGTGCTGGCCCTGCCTGGGAAGCCGCCGTTCCTGACCCAGCTGCATTCCTGCTTCCAGACCATGGTAATGTGTCTGGAGGCCCTAGCACTTCCCCTCCAGAATTTCACTGGGCTTTGGCCAAACATGTCCCAAAGAGATACCTGTGTCCTCCCCATTATAACACAGGAAAATGTGAGGCCCAGAGAAGGCTGTTGAGAAGTGTTCACCCCGAGGCAGGTGCTGTTTAAACAAAGATAAAGGAACACAGGGAATTGGTTTTATAACCAACAGAGCAGGTCCTTTCTCTGACAACAAGAGGTGACTTGGGGACAGGAACTCAGGACTTTAGGTTTCACAATATGAGATATAATAACAGGTGGGAATGATGGCAAAGGTCCACGCATTTCATGGGTGTCAAACTCATTTTCACTGGGGGCCACATCAGCCTCACAGTTGCCTTCAAAGGGCCAAATGTAATTTTAGGACTGTATAAATGTAATTACTCTTTAGCTCACAGGGGCAAGGAGCTCGGCAGTGCTGCTAGGTAGAAACAAGGTGCCAGGCCAGATAAAACAAGGTAGACAGCCAGATTCGGCCCACAGGCCTTGTGTTTGCCACCTGTGCTTTAGATGGTTATAAGTAGCCCTGTAGACTCTTTGGCTAAGTGCTCCAGTACCTTCTGCAAGTTACATGGACCTCCTTGGGGAGTGGCTACCTGGGAACATGGTCCTCAGAGGGCTCCTAGTTTGTGGGACACAGTGTCCAAGGCAGGGGCTAGTGAGCTCAGAGCTGGGGCTATCGAGGAGGAGACATTTGTGTACTGTCTGCTACTGACTGTGACTCCAACTCTGTAAAAGCAAGAGACATCCCTTTAAAAACACCTTTGCCTTGTCCCTTTTTAAATTAGATGGTGGCTTCCATACCTAAGGAGGGGGAGGCCTGAGCCCCTATTGCAAATAGGGACAAAGTTAATTTTTTCCTTTGGGGCTTCTAAGGGCCAGTGGTCCTATGCCTTAAAGATGCTTTCAGGGAGTTTTCAAGATGATTTTGACTCCATCCAGCTCTTATCCTACATGCTAATTTCAGGGCCCAACCCCTATGTGAGATATTACATATAATATAAAGATTTCCTCTCTTCTCCAACATCACCGACCTCTATGTGCTGCTCAGTTAGGTTGAACCATCCAGCCTATAAAGACCCAGAACTGGATTTGGGGAGGTTTTCACAGTACAGACCACACACCAGGCACAGAACTGCCCTGTGTGAAAGGGCCTAGCTCCTTTTATGTTCTAAATGATCTTTTAATACATTTTGAAGTCAGAGAGACCTGGTTCAAATATGACTCTGTTGCTTGCTGACTGAGTAACCTTGGGCAAATTATATAACCTCTTTGGGCTATAATTTTTTTAAAATCTGTAAAATGGATGAGATAATAGTAGGTATATCCAAAGTTATTGTGAGGAAGAAATGAGATTACATATGAACAACATGTAACATAGCACTTGGTACCTGGTAAATGCTCAATAGATGTTATTTATTTCACAGGTGTTGGCCTTGGCCTTGACAATGTCCTGTTGTATAGAGCTGAGTAAGCTAGGTCCTATTTTTGAGAAGTTTATGGTCTTAGAACAAGGCAATAGTTAAAGATAATACAATAGGGGCTGTGATAACAAGACCTACAGAGGTGGATGGGTCTGGAGATTGTTGCCTGATCACCACGTAGTGTTTGCTTTTTGGGTGATGGAATGACCCAGGTCATCTGGTGTGGTGCCAGGTCCTCCAAATCGTGAACAGCCTTCTTACCACAGGTGGTCATGGGAGGACACATTTTGTGCAAATGTGTATAGTATTCCCTGTGGGGGCTTTGGTTCACTAGCCTCTCATTTGAGGTATGCTGGGTGATGAGGGGCTACAAGAATACCCTTCGCTCTGCTGCAAGCAGGACTAAGAGCTGGAATTGTGTTTGGCACATTATGGAGCAGCCACTGCCATGCAAAATGGCCCTGGACGGTATGAAGGGGATTTGGGTGGACTTTCAACTACACTCCCCCTTTCAGTTCACTTGAAGTTTTTCCAAGAACCTCAAGGAGAAGGTATCTGTTTGGTGTTACTCTGCCCACAGCCTCTTCCTGATACTTGACTTTTTAACAAAGAGATTACCAGGCCTTAGGTTCTGGCTTTGGCAAACAACAGTTTCTAGGTAATTGGGTTTTTTTGTTGTTACATTTTTTTCCACAGATTTCTTCCATTTATGACAGCACAATAAAGTCTTTTAGTTTTGAAATATTAGAAAAAGTCCAGAAAAACACACAAAATAGACATTTAGTAATTAGTTATTACAAGGTTAAGTTCTCTTTGCCACCACCCAAGTCAAGAAAGAGAACTTTGCAGGCACTCTAGAAGTTTCTCTCTCTGCATTCTAATTTCAGTGTCCCCCACTGGTAGCATGACTTCCTTGCACATCTTTTATTTATTTTTTTTGAAGATTTGATTTATTTTTTAGAGAGAGAGGAAGGGAAAGACAGAGGGAGAGACACACAAGTGTGCAAAAGAAATATCTCAGTTGCCTCTTGCAGGCCCACAACCAGGGACTGGGCTGCAACCCAGGGACAGGCCCAGACCAGGAATTAAATAGGCAACCTTTCAGTTTGCGGGGTGACTCCCAACCCACTCAGCCATACCAGTCAGGGTTTCCTCGCATGTCTTTATAATTTTATCTCTATGGTTTAATCTTCCCAATTTTAGAAATTGGATGTGTTTTGTAAATTTTTTAATGTAGTGATTCTCTGCTCCATTCTTTCCTTTGCTCTGTCCTTTTGTCTGCTGATGATTTCTGTTGGCCCCATAGAGGGTTCTCTGTCTGGGTTTTGTCAATTGCACAGTAGTGGGGCATCTCCACATGTTTCCTTTGTCCTCAATGTTTCCTAAAGACTGCTGACTGGGCCTGGGCTTGGTCAGACTCAGGTTTGATCCCTGTAGCAAAATCATAGGTGGTGGATGTTCTTTCCTCTGAAGGTACATAATGTCCAGCTTCCTCTCTTTTTGTGATGTTGGCAACTGCTGATGCTTGGTGCCTAGGTCCAATAATTCATTAAGGATGGTAAGAATTTGATACCCTAATTCTAACATTCCCTTCTCATTTAATAAAAGAACATAAGATTCCCTCATCTAGTGGCTGGTGCCCCAGGGGTACAGTTCATATAGAAAAGGCAGGATAAATGCTTGATTCCAATTATTTAACAATTTCCATGAATTGGTTCATTAACATGTTCTAAAGGTGGCTAAAGTTTGCTTTTTTTTTTTAAACAGGAGAAAATCAGAGTTTAATACATGTCCATGGGCAGGTCACATAAGCATAAACATTCTGTGAAAATTCCAAAGACAATGAGACAACATTGGGTATAGAAGACATATTTGAACAGAGGAGAAAGTGGGAGAAGGAGTATTAGATTTCAGAAGTGAGAATGGGTGATTTACAGGTAGTTGACAGAGAAAACATGGCAGAAAAATCTCCCTCAGTGACTCAGAAACAATGAAACATGAGGAGGGGTTATTCAGCTAACAAAAGCTAAAGTTTGCTTTTAAAATAAGATTTTTGAGGGAGAGAGCCAATTTAAAGAAAAACGTGATGTGAGCAATAATTCATGTCATCTGGGGACTTGGCAAAGACAAAGAGGGAGTGCTTCTTTCCAGTTCAAGTCTGGTGAGTTAAGGCCTCAAGGTATTCAAATGGGGGCTGAGATGGGACTACACTAGACTCTGAAGCCTCTAGACTTTCTCTTTCCCAGTCTTCTCTTGTTTCCAATGTTGGTCTCCAGGTTGGCTCACTGAATTCAGCAGATGAAGGACAGTCTCAGTCTAGTAAATAGATCTTGTTCTTCAGGCAGAGGCCAGGGTCAACAGAGTAGGGTTTTCAATTTCAGTTGGATGTGTTGAGATTGGAAGAAATTAGCCATCTGTGATTTGTTGAAGTTAATATTTTTGTTTGTAGTTTACTGTTTTAAAAATGATAAATTAAGTTTGAAATTACTTCTTGACTACTGAGCTGCCTCACTCACTCATGTTTCAGTATGCTTTTTGGAGGAGGGCCTGGGTGCTCATGAAAGTTGCAATGTGCTAGGTCCCCACCCCGGCCCCAACCCCAACCTCAAGGAGCTGCCACACACCAGGGAAAAGGTGAAAGGTCCAGAGAGAGCCCAGAGAATGTGTGTGCATGGTGCTCATCCTGCATGGGGTTGCGGCACTTGCTGGAGGCCGATGAAGTCTTTAGGTGCAGTGAGTCCAGGAGTGAACAGACTGCTCTCCCATTGGGAGGATCAGATTAAACAGTCACCATGTCTCTAGAAGGTGTGTTGTGTGAGGGGAAAGTTGTGACTTTAAATATTAGAGTTGTGCTTGACTCAGGAGATTGTACTTCCCGTGAGGGCAAGGCCACTGGGGGAGGGGTCAGTGCCCACCCATGTCACCTTCACTCAGTGGCACAGGTTCTTTGAGTGAAAAGGACTCATTAAAATTTTTTTATTTATGGACTTCCACCAAGATGGAAGTGTAGGTGGAAGCACTGTACCTTCTCACACAACCAAGTTTAAAAACAACAAAGTTTTAGCAACAAAAACACAGCCAAATCAAAGAAAATTGAACTGCACGGAAGTCTAACAACAACGAGCCCTTCAGCCAAACCGGTAAGAGGGGCAGAGCCAGCAGCAGAACTGGGTCAGGCAGGAAAGATCCACCAACTGACCTGGGCTGCAGGTGTGCCAGCAGCCGTGGGTGGACCCCAGGTGTGGGGAAGTGGGCGGACCCAGTGAGGTTGCAAGGCAGTGGACCCACTGAGGGCTGATCATGGTCACACATTCGCACGCAGATAAACTGGTGAAGGAGTGAACAGTGAGACGGACCGTACAGGCCCCCGGGGCAGGATGCGGCAGAGGGAACTGCCATTGTCCCTCTCTGACCCTGCCCCCACATACAGCATCACAAACCAGCAACCTGGGTGGCCCTGCCCTGGTGTACGCCTAAGGCTCCACTCCTCATATGTAACAGGCAGGAACGGAACAAAACATGGCTCAAGAACAGCTCAGAG